TTTCTTTTATCAATTCTGCCTCAAATTTGGTGTAGTAGGTTTCTAATGCTTATGAATTCTTCAAGCCACATAGTTTCATGATTAAGTTTTTATTCAGTTAATGCTTACATTTAAATCTCTGACGTATGTCTGGTAGACTCATACATCCAGATGGAGCAGGTTCAACTAGTAGTTTTTGCAAAGTGACCATTTGTTGATTTGAAGTTTCTGAAGAGTTTCTTTCTGGTCCAGGTACAATGATATTGCTAAACATGGCTTTGCTGCAATGGGACAATCTGGGCCAACCACAGTGGACCCCTCAGGACTAAACGATGGATCTTCCAATGCTGCTCAAACAGGAAAATCAAATGGATTGGGGAGGTACGTTTTTAATTTGGTCATTGGTGATTTCTGAAAGTTCTTTGCTGCTTGTTTGATGCACTTTTTTGCTTGATACTTGTTTAACCTAAAGTTTTTCTCAGGGTTGTAATAGGAATAGGAGAGCAGCTATATTCTCTACTTCTGATCAACTCCTTCTTCCTCGAGGTAATTGCTTTGAAATTATGTCTTTCCTTGATGCTCTTATATTTGTTTCTTTCTACTTCATTTGGTTGTGTGTGGTTATCTTTCTTTTATTATGAGCATTTGTAGAAGCTGAGTTGCTTCTTTGCAGTTAATATAACATTCACATTCTTCATCTCGTATCCAATGTCTAAATTGTTTTCTGATACATGTAGGTCTATGCTACAGGTTTCTTGCCTTTCGTGGGAAAGACACTCAATTTTATGCTTCTTTCTTGGATGTACGCCTACTATTGTTTTGAGTATGTGGTGCTTTCCCTTATAACTTATGATGTGCATCGACTATTCACTTGGTGAACTATTCAATTCAATTCAATTCTTTAACTTGTAGGTACAAGTGGAATCTTTCAGAAGTGAGTCTGGATAGAAGGCTGGACTTTTTCGAGTCTAACTGGGCTTTCTTTGCTGGTTTTGGTAGGACTCCATGACTTGATTGGTTTATTTAGTTTTAGTTGCTATAGTTTGCTAGTTTCGGTTTTGAATATTAGCAAGGAAAATCTGCTGTTAAATAGTCCAATGCAGCTCCATATGATGTGAAGGTTGATTATAAAGATTAATTTGTTTGTTTTCCAGTGAGATGGCCATTTAGTTAGTTTGATAGGAGTACTAAGTTTGTTTGTTATGATTGGAATATTTTAAAGCGATAGATCTAGGATATAGCTCAATTGGTTAAGGCATAAGGTCAAATGTTTGAATCCTCACATCCACATTGTTGAACTAAGAAAAAGAATCATTACAAATTTGTGGTGGGGAGGGTGAGAGAGGGGTTAAGAGTTTTGATATCAAGCTTGGCTCAAGGAGCCATTTCTCTATTTACCTGAGATTTTATTCGTATGTTACCATCATTTCTGTACAATTCAAGGTTTCTTTATTCTTGGCTTCTCTCACTCCCTAAGTTAAGACAACCACCATTATAGTTTTCAATTGGCATATCTTGGCTCTTGGCAGTTACATTAACTTCTTGGTAGACAAAATTGTTACAAATGTGAGCAGTGGATCTAGAAGCAAATATCGAGTATTTGATGGTGTTAAATCCTTTCTCATGACATTTTACTTTCATTTCATATTTTACAGTTTTATTTTTTATTTTTTGTTTGACTTAAGGCTCGTGTCTTTAATTATTTAATTAAAATTGAGCTCATTTCTCTTTTCTTGTCATGGTCACCATAGTGTTGTGATTTGAAACAATACGTTATAGTTCTAAGAAGTTTGAGGCATATCAGTTTAATGGTCTTTCCAGGTAGTCCTTGCGTTCTTGCGATATTTTTCTTCTCACCACTTGTGAGCTATGGAGTAATGGCTATCTTATTTCCACTGGTAAATGGAACCATTTGTCTCCCTCTCTTCACACACAAACTCATTTCCTTTTAAAATTGTACCGATGTTCTCTTTCCTCAAATACTCACTTCTTACGGTTCTTTTGTTTGGGTTTCATCCCATATGCCTTTTAGTTTGTTCTGACAGCCACAGGCTCAGTTGCCGAGAAGGATATTTATTCACAGAGAACAACTTGGAAATGTGCAGGACTGGGAAGGCTTCCAATTTTCTATGCTGCAAATACATTGTCGTAAGTTGTCTTTCTTCACGCTAAACTTGTATTTGCAAAATAGAATAGTTTGCTGGGACTATTCGAATAGCCTTTGGATTTCTGATCCAATAATAATTTCTTGTATCTATATAGAATAGAAGTTGACTAAATGTGACAAGGAACGATGTTTTTAACGTTAAGCAAATGCTGCAAAATCTCTCTGGAGTTGTAACGGGGAAAAACAGCAGAGTCTGTCTAAAAAATGGACAAAAGAAAGAAACTCATCTTCACGAAGATAATAGATAGAGGTTTAGTTAGTGAGGCTATGACTTTGTGCTCTGTAGTATAAGAGTACAATAAATTGTAGAGATTGAACCAACGAATGGAAAACCTGAAAAACTTCAATTATGTGATATTTTGAACTTTACTAGATTAGAACTGTTCGTGAAGCAGGGAAACTTTAGTATTGCCTACCAATGTTTTTTCCCCATGTTGATTGGCCTTGTAGGATGAAGCTCTTGACTCTCTTCCCTCATGAATCACAAGAAAAGATGCAGCAAAACAAGGAACTATAACAAGTTCTGGAGTCTGGGTCAATACATATACGTTTTATGAACAGTAAGCCAAAATTCATTAGCCATTGCCTTCTATTCAGAATATTTCCTGCATGTTCATTTATTTATGAAGTATTACTGCATAATATATCGTCTCAATTCTTAATCTATCTGATGGAGCAGAATCCAAGTGGCTCAAGTCAGATACTACAAGTGATTCCTCCCTTATCCGTACAGAAACGATACCATAGGTGAAGATCAACCATAGGTAGATTCATAACCAGTTTGGAAGATTGGTTGCTGTGTGAATATCGAATAGGTATGCAATTAATTGGGCGGATAGATAAGAATGTACGATGCCAAGTGATAATTTTGCTGTAACCTCGTTAAGTAATGTAAATAACTTATTTTAGTAGAAAGATTGTTCCAACTCTTTGCTTCAGTTCAATGTGTGAATTATGTACAATCAAGAATGAACAACTTATAGTGGATAGAGTTGATAAGAATCGATGTGCGATCTTCTGCCTTGACTTGATGGATTGAGTATACACTTGTTCATAAGTTGGTAGTGAGAAGAAGGTAAACTGATTCTGGGTATAATTAGAAAGCAGAAAAAGGAGTTAATTAAGCTGATTTACATCCTTCAAATCTTTTACATCTGCAGATAGATAGATACGTTGTGTTTATTCAATAAAGCTCTGTGAGAAACTGGAAAATGGGGCTGAAGTTGAAAGCAGCAAATGGCAAAAGGTATCAATTTATGAGTTTTTTCCTGTCTGGTCAATGAGAAATGGAACACATTTGAATGCTCATACACACATACATACATACATATGAGAATCTGCAATGAATATAGAAGTAGAAAGGAAGTAAGAATAAAGTTTTTATTACTCACTTATCCACTGACTCTAGCTACACCTAACATGAATGTGATTGGTCCACGTAAGCTCCATATTTAATTCTTCCCCACCCCTGCCAGATGTTAGGCTGATGTACTCTGATCCACCATCTCCACTCATTTTAATTATTTTAATATGATTCTAATCGAGCATAGTTTAGTAGATAAAGTCGGGATGAACTCGGTGTTTATAAAATCATGAAATTTGCCTGTCTGCTTATTGGGTATTATGATTTGATATAATTATATATTTAGTTGAGAGTGGTTTTGGGAATTCACTTAAGATTCTTGAGATCTTTCTTTGCCATTTGTTTCCAAAAAAGACAATTATTCTTTTCAAAAGAAAGATATATATATATATATATATATATTGAAAATATGAGTATGTTGGGGAACAGCTGAATTGAATAGGAAATGATGAGTCCATTAAATTACAAATTGCCCATTTGGATTTGGATTTTTATTATACTGTAACAATGCAAACCCAATTGACGACTTTTTGCCCATCTCCTCCTCCTCCTCTTCCATTTAATTCTATACGTTTCAAAATCTTGTTTTGTTTTATGCATTGATGTGATGGAATGCTTTATTTACCATTAAATTTAAATTGACTGAATCAAAATGTGACGTGGAATGTCGCCGACCCACTTAGTATTCAACTTCCTTATTTATTGTACACTCGTTTTAATCTATATTGTAAATTCAGTGAATAAAAATACTTATTACCATTTGATACTTCTGTCTTTTACCAAATGTTTATTTAGTGACGTCTGGTTTGAAAACAAAAATCAGAGTAAATACGAGTTGAGCTACATTCAAATTAATAATGGATTTATCTATGTCATGAGCAACATGCACCGAGGGGTTTTTTTTCCTTGGCTCGAGTATTCCGTTTTCAGGTCGAGATTCTAGATAACTTAACTCTCACAGTTCAAAGTTTTGCATCTAATTCTCACTTTTTTTTTTTTTATTATTAGTTCAAATTTGCATCTAATCTAATAACAGCACCCAATAAAAAAAACATAGGTTTTCAAGGGATAGGATGGAAAAAGGAGATGCTTTTTTGTGCAGCGAAGGGTCAAAAAGTGAGAAAAACAACACAACTTAGCCACAAAGAACATTTCTCCCTTGAGTTTTTCTTTTTCTTTTTTATCCCTCAAATGAAATTCCTTTTTTTTTTTTTTCCCTTCAAATTCAATGCATTTATTGTACAAAGAAAAAAAAAAGGTAATATATATTATAATTAAAAACATATATATATATATATATATAAAATAGAAATCTCCTCCTGTACAGTCTCACTCTCAATCATCTACCTAATCTTCCAACAAAATACATTTCAAACAAAACAAAGCAAAGCAAAGCAAAACAAAACAAAACCCCTACCTCTCCTCATCTTCATCGTCAATATTATCCAAAAAAAAAAAAAAAACATGGAAAAAGAAATCACCCCCACACGATAAACAATCCTTCGAATCTTTGTTCTTGAAATCAATCGTTGAATTGATCCGAATGAAGGGGGGATGGAAAATGTGGATTAAAAAGCCCAACAATGTGTAGAAGAGATGAATGTTAAATGGTAGGGCGATTCAAAGGTGTGTTTCTTTTATACAACAAAGAATTAAGGGGTTCGGGGGGTACGCAATAACACTTACTAATCTGGTTTTGGGTTTGTCACTGGGAAGTGTTTGGATCTTCGTCCCCACTATCGGTTGCGTGAGGCTGCGGTGCGTTGGAATGATGCTCCAATGGATGATGATTATGGTGATGATCTGAATTAGCATTGAACCCGCCTCTGGAATACGCAGCATTCAGAGCTGCTAACACTCCCAAATTGGACTCTGATACTCCCAGCCCAAGCTGCTGATGCTGCTGTTGCTGTTGCTGTTGCTGTTGCTGTTGTTGATGCATTAGCATGGAACCGAGTTGTAATTGGCCGGCTCTTCCTCCGCCTCCTGCTGCCGCACCCGCCGCCTGAATTTCGACGCCTCCAGGGATGTTGAATCTTGGCATGAAATGCAATGGAGCCTGCAATGTGTTTGCACTCGTTGAGAATGGCCACATTTGAGCTTCCATTGGACCACCGCTTGCTCCAGAGCTTCCTACATTTGCTCCGCCTGATCCTGTTGTTACTGGCAACATCCAAAACGTGTTGCTCGCTCCACTGCTTGGAGCGACGGCCCACATCGCAGTCGCAGGACGGAGTAGGCTCGAGGATGCTGATTGCTGCTGCGATTGTTGTTTCTCTAATTGCAGATCGCTCTTAATCGCTTTGGGAGATCCAGCACCGCCGCTGCTCTCCCCTGGAGATTGCGTGTCCTCTTTAAACAGGTCTTCTCTGTAGCGTTTTCTCATATAGTTATCCGTCGAGTCTCCTCCTCCTCCGCCGCCGCCGCCGCTCTCGCCGCCGGGGAGAGCGTCGGCAATTTGATCGGCGGTCATTAGATTAAGTTGGTGGTGGTGCTGCTGCTGTTGCTGATGGTGGTGGTGGTGGTGAAACCCTAGCAGAGCAGCATGAGCGAAGCCTTCCTCGTAGGCGTTGGGATGGTGAGCGAGAGCCAAAGCGCCATGGAAGGAATGAGGAGCAGATTTTGAGGGAGGAGCAGAGAGAGTGGATCCACTGCTACGAATGGAAATGTTCAAGGAGGAGAAATTAGCAGGGATTGTTCCAGTACCAGTGGCGGCGATAATCGCAGGCTCAGCTTGCTGGAGAAGCCACTCGATGGTCTCGCCGTCGGACTTATGCCCCAATTCGCGGGTCAATTGGAAAACCCTAGCCGCACAAGTAGCCGGCATACGGATGCGTCGGCCACGACCGTCGACCTTAGTATGCCGATCTTTAGTAGAACGCTTGAGGGCGTTGGCGTTGGAGGTGGAGGCGGAGGCGGAGGCGGAGGCAGATCGAGGAGAAGGATTGGTGGTGGTATCGGATCTGNTGGCGATGACGAGTGAGGCATCGAGGAGGTGAGGAGGCGGAACAACGGCGGAGGAAGAGGAAGAAGAAGAAGAAGAAGAAGAATTAGAAGCAGAGGAAGAAGGAGGAGGGAGGGAGACAAGAGTGGAGATGGAGCCCATGAACGGTGGACCACCTCCTGCAGCGGCTGATCTGCCATCGAAAGGGACCACATGATGCTGCTGCTGCGGCTGCGGCTGCTTCTGGTTCGGGTTTGAATGGTGATGATGGTGCTGCTGCTGCTGCTTGTTGCTTTGCTGCATATCTGTAAGTTCCATTTGGTTTGCTGCTTTATATTTTGTTGGTGGTTGTTCTTGTTCTTGTTGGTGTTCTTGAGCTATGTGTTTGAACCGTTGATCATGGCTCTTCCCTACCTCTGCTATGTCTATGAATACCCCGGGAAGAGAGAGAGAGAGAAGGGAGGGTTAATTAATGGAGGTTGCTTATTAACCACCACCACCACCATGACCGTATCATTTTAGCTTCTGGGTTTCTCTGATTCACCCTCCTCTTCCTAAACTTTGGATCTTTTTTTTTTCTTCTCACTCTCATGACAAACAACAGTGAATTGGAGAGAGAAATAGATGAGTCCCAGTCTTAGTCCCAGTGGCAGTGCCATGTGGGGGACCCTCTCCCCCTTCAAATCAAACCCTACTCTAAGCAGATGTTTACATATCACCATTAACCTCACAATTTCAAAATGCCCGTTACATATCATCGTCAACCTCATGATATTAAGACACGTCCTTTTCTATTCAGGTGGGATCACATTATTAAGTTAGGTTAGATTTTGATTCAGTTGGTGGGTTTATGTTTTTACCAGTACTTCTAAAAAGAATAAGAATATTTAACGTTTGTAACTGATATTAATAATGCATGGTGAATTGATAGGACCACGTCCTCATCCTACCCTACCTTTAACAAGATTAAGAATATTCAATGTTTGTAACCGATGTTAATGATACATTGTGACGGAATGTTTGATATTTCAGCAAACTTTACTTGGGTTACTTAGATCACTAATCCAACAAATTCGAAAAGATTTTTACAACGGTAACTTTAATTGCCAATTCTACCCTTCCTCACAATTCTGATACCAAATATGTGCATGCCATACCAAACCAAACCAAACCAAACCAAACCAACCCACTTTTCCATTCGTCTTTTACCTTTGTTTTTTCTTCGCCGAGGGGGTATTATCGTCATTTCCCCTCCTTCCAGATTAGCAACCAGCTGCCAACGCAGGCCGGATTAACAAAAGAAAAAGAAAAAGAAAAATAAAAGAAGAGCATCTAATGCATAGTCCGACAGCTCATCCCAACCCGCTCCGCATTATATATTATATTTATATTATATAATAAATTATATATTATTTTCCTTTTCCCCTCTCTTTTCTCTTTCCTTTCTCACTGGGGGCACTCCCTTTTGATATCTCCACGCACCCCAATCCTTCCCTTATTATTTAATAATTTAATAATTTAATAACCCTAAACAATATATTTTATATTTTAATATATATATTCACATGAAAATCACGCTCCACATTCTCTCTGCCACACTGCTTCATCAAAGTCTTCCCATGTTTTCTTATTATTTTAATTAAAAATGCGTGAAAATATTCCTTTATTTTTCCAATAAATAAGGGAAATCTTTTGAATTAAATAATAATGTCTGAAGAATTTATATACTTTAAATATTAGATGCCTTTAGAATTTATTTTAAGCAACCAAATAACCAAAAAGTTGGCGGAAGGAGAAAATTAGATAGAAAAAAAGTGGGAACAAATAACCAAGCTGTCCACCACTTCATTTCCTTTTCTTTTAATTATTTAATTAATTCCACCCGTCCCAAATATGTAAATCGTAACCGCTCTAACCCACCGACCATTCTCTCTAGTACGCGTTTTAAAATTTTGAGGAAAAAACCCAAATACAACGGTTAGCAATGGGCTTGAATTGTTTTTAATGGTATTAGAGCTCGTGAGGTATTGTTCGGAGTATGGCTAAACTCTATCTATACTACACACATTTTACAACCTTGAGAGGAAAGCACAAAGAGGATAATATCTGCTAATAATAAGCTTGAGTTGTTACAATTTGACTATATTTTAACACGTACATGCTATATTAATAACTAAAATACCAAGCATTCACAAACTATAATGCATTATTAACCTTCTTAATTTTTCAATCTTAAAAATACAGTAGAGTCGAATTGGATTATAACCCAATTTTCATATTTATCAGTCAAACTCGACAAAATAAAGTTGAATCTACATTGGTTAGGGAGGAGAACAAAACACAATTTATAAGAGTGCGAAAACCTTCTTTTTAAAGTCTCAAGGGAAAGTAAAAAAGACAATATCTACGAGCGGTAACATTTGAAAGATCGAGGAGCGTGGGATAGGGTAGATTTGATTTGGCTGATGGAGTAAAAAGTAAAAAAGTAAAGAAAAAAGTGTTAAAGAGTAAAAAAGAAGGGGAGAGGAGGTGTCAGAGAATTGTAGTGGAGAGTAGTAATTAATAGTGTTATATGTCTGTTGTGGTGAGGTAATATAATATATTTTAATAATTATTTTATTTAAAAATTAAAAAATTAAAAAATTAAAAAATTAAAAAATTAAAAAAATTTAGGAAGAAGCAGATGCAGATCCCATCAATGATATTTCCAGTGCTGATCCTCATTTCTTTCTGTTCCCACCACTTTCCCCTTTTCACCCTCCCTTTCCCTTTTCACCCTCATTAATTACTTTTACTCATTTACCTTTCATTTACCTTTCATTTACCTCCATTCATTGGATTATATTCCTTTTTTAGCTCAAACCAAATTATTTTTAAAAATTACTAAATAAATAAATAAATAATTATAAAATTAAATACAAATATAGATATTATATTTTAAAATTAACGCATAAATCAAACCGAAGCTTATTTTCATTTTTACTATTATCTATTTATTATTTTTGTGGATCTTCAAGATCTCGTTTATTTATTACATATGCTCACATAATGGCATTCTATTATGGGCAATAAATTTGAAATTTTACGTGTCTTACATGTTTGTCACGTATTCAAAATTGGTTGGACCTTATATTGTATCATAGTTGTGTATAATAAGCATCTCATAATTGATAAGATAGATGTCTATCTTTAAAAGGCAAGAGGAGTTAAGAGACCGATATTAGTCCATTGTAGACTTGATGCTTTTCTTGAGCTCAAAACGAAACACAACAATAAATTCATTTTAAGTCTGAAAGCTACTATTTTAAATTTGAAAACTTTCGATTTCACAAATAAATTAATGTTCGTCTTATTGAGTAATTTTATGAAATAAGCTGCTTTCATTATAACTGACTGACCTTTTTCTTGGTCTCCATAAGCATGACAAATAACAACGGTTCAATAAATGTGAATTATTCTATCAAGTTTTATTTTCTCATTTTTTTTTAACTCTAATATAAGACTCATATGTTAGATGACAAAAGTCCCACAGTTAATCTAGGAAATGATCATGAGTTTATAATCAAGGAATACTATATCTATTCGTTCGAGGTTTTTTGGGAAACTCAAAGCAAAACTATGAGAGCTTATACTCAAAGTAGATAATATCATATCATTATGGAGAGTCGTGTTCATCTAACACATCAGACAAGCCATGATAAAATTAGCATCACGAGAACATGTCAATAAATTTTATTTTATTTTTTATGAGAAAAAAAATCATTTAAAAAAAGAAAGAAAGAAAGAAAGAAAGAAAACCTAGTGGAGGAAAAGATGCGATGCCAATAGAGACGGAAGTCAGGTAAAAGTCGAATCTTATTTACTTAATTACAGCCTATGGAAAGGTGAATGTCCTTTCACCGTTCAGTAACTTCACGTCCCTAAATCATTAATATTGATTGCTCCACACCTAATTATTAATATATATATATTTTACTGAAAAATTATTAAAGATCAGATAAAGCTTTTTATTTTTTGTAAATATATATATATATATTTTTTTAATTTAAAGGTATTTATAAAGTTTTTAAAATCAATTTCAAATTAATTTTTTTAAATAAATGAAATAAAGCAATATTAAATTTAAAAAGAAAAAAAAAAGTGATATATTTATTTGATAAGTTAAATTAGAGCACGAGGTTTGAATTGGTGGGTCCCAGGTTCGAATCAGAGGGAGTGATAAATGATAATATACATAGAGAGATACGTCATTGTGCGGTGCGGTTCAAAGCTGGGAGGTCTGGGGAAGGTGGGGTCCTTCACACAAATGAAATGATTGCATTCCTTCACACGTGTAATCTCACATGCTTTTATCATTTCACTATCCCTTTTCTCTTCCCATTGTTTACGGCGGGGCCGCCGCCTCTGATTGCGCGTAATCATGGATCCCATAACCTCCAAGGCCCAATTACCCTCCTTCATTTGGGCTTTCTTAATCTACTCCATTGGGCCTAGGCCCATCTTTGGGCCCGGCCTTCCAAATATAGCTAGCCTGCTTAGCCTTCCATCTCCTCCCTTCAATATGTAAGAAATTATTGAAGCAATAATAGAAAGGCCCATTTATTCACTTCCTATAATACAACTACCTCTTCATTTATGCAAATAATAATAATCATAATAAAATTGGTAATAATGTTACAAAATTTATGAGGGTTTTTTAATCGTGTACTAATAAATGTTGTCCACTTTGGCCTGTTACATATGGCTACTGGTCTCACGATACTAAAACGTGTCTACTAGAGAGAAGTTTACCGACCCTTATAAGGAATATTTCATTCCCCTCTCTAATTGACGTGAGATTTCACAATCTACCCCTTTTAAGAACCCAACGTCCTTGCTAGCACACCATCAATGGCTAGCTCTAATATCATTGTAACAGCTTAAGTTCACTGTTAGTAAATATTATCCGCTTTGGCCCGTTACGTATTGCCGTCCACTTCTAAAATGCATCTATTAGAGAAAGATTTTTATACTCTAATAAGAAACGCTTCATTCTCATCTATATACAAAACAACAAAGATATTTTTTAACCTTTAAAAATATTTAAAGGTAATTTAAATTAAAAAATAAAATAAAAGTGTATTGATTAAATTTTGAAAGCTAGAACAAATTTAAAAGTTAGTGTTTTTTAAGCTATTTTAAAATTTTAAATATATTCTTGAAATAAATTAAAGGTTAATTTGGAATAAATATTAACTATTTCTCTAATCAATAAATAAATAAAAAAAAACAAAAGATAATAGTATTTTTTAGTTTAAGATATTATTAAAAAGTTTTGAAAATTAAAAGTAAGAGATATTATTATTAATTTAACCTAAAAAATATATATATAATTCAAATTCAATGTTCCATCCAAATTAAAATGGAAAAGTCCATTCTAACAAAAAAAAAAAAAAAAAAAGGGTCAGATTTGGCAATGTCAACGCAACGCAGCAGAGCCCCCTGCTGATCGTTGCTATTAAATTAGGCATAGAAGACGAGTACGGGAAGAATTTGCGATGGGAAGTGGAAGTGGAGGCCCCAATAAAGCTAACAACAAGCTAGTGGGCGTGGTCGTGGGCGTGGTCGTGGG